AATTGCAAATTTAAGGTTTGTCGTTTGGGGGAATATTTTTCATTTAGCTCAAAATTGACAAGCTGGTCATTAAGCACTGCCAATTAAAACTGAGACTTTAGTCCTGGCTGGGTGGCTTAGGTTGGTTGGAGCATCATTCTGCTCACCAAAGGGTTGCGGGTTCAATTCCCAGTTAGGGCACATATCTTGGTTTTGGGTTTGCCTTCAATATGCAGTGTGGTCAGGGGGTGTACAGAGGCAAACAACTGATGTGTGTCTCTGTCTTTCATCAATAAAAAACATTCCCTGGTGAGCATTTAAAAAAAAAGAAACAAATCTGATTTATGACAAGTCAAAGTAGAGGGACTTTAAAGAGGCAACCCAGTTAGTAAGCGTCCCTACGAATGTGGAGCTACAGTGAGCCGGGTCTGACCCTTCCTTGCATTAGTTTCCCATCGCTGCTGTAACAAATCAGTGGCTTAAAACAATGCAAATTTATTATATCGCCATTCTGGAGGTCAGAAGTCTCAGTAAACCAAATTGTAGGTGTCAGCAGGGCCGTATGCCTTCCAGACGCTTCAGAGAGGAACAACTTCCTTGCCTTCCCCACCTTCCAGAGGCAGTCCGCAACGTCAGCCTAACAACCTCTGCTTCCGCCATCACGTCTTCTCTGCTCTCCTACCTCTTTCCCTGGTAAGGGCCTCTGTGGTTACACTGGGCCCAACCAGAGGATCCAAGATCATCTCCTCATTTTAAGATCCCTCTTCCACAGTCCTTTTTGCCACGTAAAGTAACACAGTCACAGGTTGAAGGACTGGCTCTGGTCTGTAGGCTGTGACCTGTCTATGATATTGAACCGAAAGTAAGCTTTTAGAATATGCTATCAAAGTTTGACAATAATTTTATGTCTGTAGAATATGATCATTTAAGGTGTTTTAATTTGTATCGTTTTAATTTTACTAGAAATTCATTTGTATTGTATATTTTCAAAACTACTAATTGGTCCATGGCACATTGGAAAACACTGGAAATGACTACTTTCTTTTTCTTTAATACACACACAAACCTGGCTCTTCACGATGGATTGTTTTTTCAAGAAACCCTGAGCTAGCAGAGAGTGCATCACTCACAGAGAGGAATTCCAGGTGAAAGGTCCCCCCTAGGAATATCCAAGGAACCAAAATTCACTTTAAACACCTCCCAGGCCAGTGCCTTCCATACCAACTCTGAATACTATCAGTCCATTAAGAACTTTCTAGGTCCCCTTACCCTCCTCCCACATCATGCTCCAACTCAAGGCTGGGCAAGCTAGGAGAAGCTAAGGAGCACTAAGCCGGGAAAAGGGATGGAGCCTGTCCACAGCCGGCAAGTAGCCATCCTTTGGCCACCCTCAGGGCCTAGGCGTGTTCAACTGAAGGCACAATAAATGCACCAAAGGGGCTCCCAAAGCAAAGCTGTTTAGACTGAGAATTCTGGGTCCCAGGCTCCCCCGTCCCTTTATCCTGGGAGAGCAAGAGTGACCAAAGGAGACCAGAGCAAACCCTGTACAGCATGGGACCCAAAGTAGGGCCTCTCTTAACTGGGAACTGGGTCTGAGAGCAATGCCGCAATCAGAGCCTCAGGCCATGCTGGGACTAACTTCTCAGTGCATAACAACAATAGGCACCGGAAAAGCAATCTATTCTACATGTCAAATCAACTGAAAGTTACAACATCAATACCAGTTCAGTGACATAATACTGGAGTATAGAAGCCAAGCAAAAGGGCCATCAGGATATTACTAAATTCATAAACAAAATCAATGTTTCCTAAAGTTTTATAATAATAAAATATTTATAACATACTTTTAAGGCAAACTTTTTTCTTTAATGCAGAACTTCTCAGACTCTTTAATATAAGAATGTGTTTTATGGCCCTCCAAATAGGCAAATAATAATAGGTGATATTTCCCAAACATGTATAAAGGAGGCATGCACCTCCACATATATGCATAGTACATCTCTTGGCACAAGAATCCTGAAAATACTATCAAATGAGACAAAATAACTGTTTCAGCTGGAGTTGAGTGTGACAGAAACTACTTACAACTAGTTTGAGGAACAAAGGAATTAAATGGATGATTATCAGGGGAGTCTTCAAGACCAGGCTTGAAGGGCAAGCCGTCTGGGCATAGAAACCATGGCGGGAACAGCCCAGTACTAATGCTACTAATACTGAAATAAATCAATTCCCAAACATCTCTACTGCCTTATGTAATGATTATTTGTAAGCATTCCTTATTTGAAATGCTTATAAATAATCAGTGACAAAACAAAACAATGCTGCAAAAGAAAATGAACCAAATTCTATAAAAAAGAAAGAGCCTTGCACAGATATGGTCCTAGAAGGAAATACAATAAAATGTTAGCATTTTTTTCTGCATTTAGAGTAGTAAGTAATTTTTATTTTCTTTACATACATGAATTATATTTGTAATTATAAGATTAAATATTTTTAGAACTACCTTTGTCAAGTCTAAAAGAAAAACTGTTGTAATGCCAAAATTTTGTGTCAAAGTACATGTTCACAATTTTCAAATAGTTCTTGAGTTCGTAAACTTTGCTAATGAGTTTTTCTAATTATTAGGTGATCATTTAATTCTATATACCTGAGGACTTTTGATGCAGTAAATATTTTTAAAGCTCTTTCTTGTTTTTTACATGAGTAATTGGACAGTATATAGAAATCACAATTCCAGTATGTGTTTGGTATTAGGAGTATACCACAGCTCTGTTGTCAGTAATCAGTGTATTACCATGCATTAGCACAATGGCTGGCTCTTATATAAAAAGGAGCTCTAGGTGCTGTTTGCATATAACTTCAGACAAGACCACTTTGAGATAACTTCACTCTTTCTAAATGCAATTAGCTTTTTATTAAAATAGCAAAATAAATATTAATAAATTTACTTCTTATTAAAAAGTAAATAGGATTAACAATGACAAAACCTCACAATGCTATCTTAAATAAAATCAGTAAAAACTGAAATAAAAATAGCAATTATAATCTGTTGTTTTAAAATAGCAACAATTAAGAGACTACATATCAAAACAAAATGCATATCAAAGTCAAAATGCATTGACTTTGCATTTTGAGATGCAAAGTTGTGCTCAGAGGTAAATTTATAGCTTTATGTGTCCTGTTATTAAATAAGAAATTAAAATAAATGAACTAAGTCATCAATTACAAGAAAACAATAAAATAAACTTAAAGGGATAAAGAAGGAATTAATAAAGAGTAAAAATTACATTAAAGATGTTAAAAATAGAAAAATATAATTTATAAAATACCTGTTAGTTCCTTTAAAAGACTAGCAAGTCTAATAAAGAAAAATGCAACTAAAAATACTTGAAATGAGAAAGAAGTTATAACTACAAATATAGACAAAATGTTTTCATTACTATAGGAGTCTACTAATAAACTTTAAAATTCTGTAAAAATGCATGATTTTTACAATTATTATTTTTTTAATTTATACTCAAGAATTAGTAATTAATCTGTCTAAGCCAAAAACCACAGAGGAAAAACTTTGTTTTCAGAGATGAACTTCCACTCACACACCCTTAAAACCAGCCTGAGTCCTAAGCAGTGCGGTGGATAAGTTCCTCCAAACCATCGAAGAATAGGCAATTCCTATACCCTATACTAATCCAGAGGAGGGATTTTTTTAAATCTCATAAAAATAGAATTAAAAAATGTAAAACTATAGTCCAATTTTATATGTGAGTATAAATACAATTATCCTAAGTAAAATGTAAAAAGTTGAATTCAGTATTATTATATTGAAAGAGGAAAAAACCTACACTAATGAAACAAGATGCATTTCATGCAGAAATAATTCAATATTGAAAATTTTATTTAAGGGAGTAAAACCACGTGGTAACTTCTAGCACCCCAGAATATTTTTAATATAATTTATAACAACTTTCAATAAAATGATTAGGATACTTAAACCAGGAAACAGCTTTCTTTATCTTATAAAGACTTTTATTTTACTCCAACAGCTAATATTAGAAGCTGATGAAATATTAATGGCATTCCTAAAAAGTCAGGAATAAGATGAAATTAATAGCATCATTTATTTAATATATGAGGTATAAATATTGTAAAGAAAGGGAGAAAATATCATTAATTATACTTCAAATTGTCTACTTAGAAGAGAATCAACTAGAAGGATTAATAAAAGAGTTCAGAAAAGTTGCCAAATACAAAAATCAGTAGGTTGACCCTGCAAGGAACAGCTGGTTATAAAACAGAATGAGAAAATTACTTCAACAAAGATATGAAACACCTATTAATATTATTAATAAGAATATGTGGGATCTACAAAATTACTGAGGAATATATAAGAAACCTTCAATTACCTTGACATCTGAAAAGTTCCTGAATGGAATAATTAATATCACAAAGATTGCAAACTCTAACTCAACAAATCTATAACAGTAAAGCAATTCCAAACAAAATGCTAGTAGAATTTCTTTTGAAACCTGCCCAAAATATAATTAAAGTTTACCTTGAAAAAGAAATGTACAAGTATAGATGAAAATATTTTGAAAAAGAACAATGTTTACTCCATTAAAAAGATAATCACACAATAAAGCAAATTTTAAAATGACATTGTAAAATGACAGCAAGTTTCAGGAAAAGATACCAAAAAATGAACAAACACACAAATAAAATCCAGAAACACCCCAAATATATGTAAGAATTTAATATTTGATAAACATGGAATTTTCAAAACAGTGGAAGAGAGAGTTTACAATAAACAATGATGCATCAGCTAAATAAATATTTATAGTCTTAATCACATCTATATCAAAAATAAATTTTATTTGGAGTAAAGATTTAAATCTAAAAAAAATTTAAAGAAAACATACACAAATACTTATTTAACATTGAGACGGAGAAGACTTTTAAAAAACATATCACCAAAAAACAGAAATCATGAAAGAAAAGATAAGTTTATGTAAATGAAAAATGTAATATTTCTGTATATCAAAGACATCATGAATTAAATTGATACATATATGACAAAGGGAAAAAATGTCTGCAGCTTACAGAATAAACAAACGGGTAGTGGTTGTAATATATAAAGAGCTCTTACAAATCAATAAAAAGTGAACTCCCAAAAGAAAAATTAGCAGATTGTTCATTCCTTCAACAGATATTTATTGTGCACCTAACATGTGCCAATATTGTTCTAGGGGCTGGGAATACAATGTTGAAGAATCTAGACCTCCAGACACAGTCTCTTCACATACACACACACAAAGTAAATAAACAAATAAATAAAGTTACAAATTGAGATAAGGAATCCAAGAAAAGAACTGAGATAGTAAATGGGAGGTCAGAGGCTATTTTCAATCAATGTTGTTGGCAGGCCTTTCTTAAGATGATGTATTTCAACTGTTATCCAAAAGACAAGGTTGTGATGGGGGAGAGAATAGCCAAGGAGAAAAGTTTAAGCAGAGATACAGCGCTTACTAAGCCTCTGAGGTGCAGAAAATATAAACGGAGCAGCATACGTGGGGTTCGAGATACAGGGAAGGGTCAGATTATGCAGGACTCTATGAGCCATGTAAGGAGTTCAGATTTTATCTCATGAGCAATGCTTTACTCATTCAATTCATGAGTAAAGCCATTGTTGCTACTCTATCAAGAAGTGGGTCTTGGGTCAAGGAGCAGGAGCAGAGACCAGGAAGGACTGGCTGTCAGGTAGGAAAAAAATATTGATGAGGATTGATAACATTGAAAATGAAAAGCAGCAGAAATATTAAAGATATATTTGAGGGTAAAACAGATCGATTTTGCTGGTCTACTTGATGTAGGAGAGGCCATGAAAAGAATCAAAGGTGATGCCTAGATTCCTAGCTTGAGCATATGATTGGATGGTGGTGCTATTTTACTGTTTAAGGAAAAAATAGGGGAAACAAGTTCGGGGTGAGAATGAGGAATTAAATTGTGGACATGTTAAGTTTGAGAGATCTGTATCATCCAAAGGAAGATATTGAGCAAGCAATTACACATTTGAGTCTAGAACTTATAGAAAAGTTCAAAGTGGAAAACAAATTTTAAACTCATTAGCATAAATGCATACTTAAATCTATAAAAACTGATAAGATCATCCTGGGAAAGGACAGAGAAAGAAAAGAGGGGCCCAAATGAAGGTGAGAAACCTCAGCTTTTCAAATTTAGGCAGGAAATAGGTAGCATAATGCTGAGGAGTGATCAGTGAAACAAGAAAACCAGGAGAGAATAATGCCTTGGATATGAATAGAAAACATTTAAAGAAGCAAAAACTAATCAAGGTGAGGACAGGAAATACCCTTTTGGAGAGAGTAATATGGAATTGACTGGTGATCTTAACAATGATATTTTCAGTGGTGGTGATGTGGAAGTCACCTGTGGATAGGTTAGAAAATAGAAGCAATATATAAGGATAATTCCATAAAGAAATTTGGTTATGAAAGAGAGCTGAGAAATGTCACTGATGGAAGAAAAGATGCACACGAGGGGACGCTTAGTTACGATGGTGGACACTGGAGCATGTCTGCAATCTGATGAGAACGATTCATTCGAGACAGACTGATGGTACAGAAGGAAGGGGATAACCTAAGGAGAAAAGTTCTTGAAAAGGCAAGGGGGATGAGATCCAGAGCTCAAGAGGAGGAACTAATCTTGGAAACTTCCTTCATAGTCAAAAAAAGGATGAAGATGGTTACCCAGGTACCTCGAGGCAGTACCTTGAATGAAGCAGAGGCGGGGGTCTTGTGGTGAAAGCTGAGGAAGTTTGTATGTAATACCTTCTATTTCCCAAATGAAATTTGAAGTAAACTGGGAGGAAGGGATCAGAAAATTTTGAGGAGAGACCAAAAAGTATAAATAGTAGTTTTAGAAATGAGAAACTGATACTACAGTAGGAACAATAGCACCAATTTGAAGTTTGAGATAACAAATTCAGAGTAAAACTGGTTGGCTACATTGTGTGCTTTTCTAGAAGAAAATGCTTATCTCAGTCAGGCACATGAAAGGCAAATGGTAAAGTTCATCCAGCATTGGGATTTTACAGGAAAGTAAATTGGAAAAAATTCAGGTTCAAGATTGCTGAAAGCATATGTTTCAAGAAGAATGATTATAATGATGGACCATGGGCTCTAGGCTAGAAAGGAAGGATGTGAATCCAAGAAGGGGCTGATACATAGTGGAAAAAATTAATAAATTAGCTGTCAGTGAACAAGGGAGCCAAGATAGAACAATGGTGATCAGAGTGGAATGTCTGACATTGTGTTAGCTCAGGTCCCCCTAGAAGCAGACACCAAGACAGGGTTCAACTTGTAAGGGTTTTATTGAGGGAACATCACACTGGAGTATAAAGGGAAGAATTAGAAGGAGGGGGAGGCCTTCACACCATAATGGAAGTCTGACACCTATGAAAGGAGGCAGGGATTGGGCAAGAGCCTTAGACTGCACCCAACACAGTTCTAAGAAAGTCTCAGCCAGGCTGCTGAGGAGTTCCCATGCCAAAGTTGTTCATTAGAAGAGTCCAGCGTTCCACATGAATGGACCATCACTAATACCCTCACTGTGCTCAGTCTTGCACAGGGAATAGGCTGATAGTCTGGGAGAAGCACACTTCAGTGCAAACCCAGCAGAAGTGGGTTCCCTGGGGTGGCAGTACAGAGAAAAAATCAGTCCTTGGGAGCATGGCCCCAGTCACTGAGGATTTGTGCACTACAAAAACAATCTTCTGGCAGACGGTGGAGGGGTTGGGGGTAGCGACCTGGTGAGAGGATTTGAGATGGCAAAGACTAAAATGGGAGCTAGTCTTGGAAGAACTAATAACGAAAGCAACTAAGCAGTTGATAAATTATTAGGAGGGAAAGAGGATGGTATTCACAGGGGTGTCCAACCTTTTGGTGTCTCTGTGCCACAATGGAAGAAGAGCTGTCTTGGGCCACACATTCAATACATTGCAACATGTAATCACAAACAAAGTTTTAAATTTACAATTTTGTGTTGTGCCACATTCACAGCCATCCTGAGCCTCATGAGGCCCGTGGGTCCCGGGTTGGACATCCCTGGTCCAGGGGCAAGATTCTCAAAGACACCAGGATTTTGGCAGGCAGCAAGAGGATGTAATGCTCTGTGAGTAGCAACAACTGGCAAGAAAACCATCCTCCCCACCCACCGGGCCCTAAGGCACATGGTCCTCCTGAAGGTCTGCAGAGGGAGTTAGAGGGTAAACCAGGTTCCGCCTAAGCCAGGGGGTGAGGGGGGGTCTGTGAAATCCGCAGGCACCGGGGAGCTTGCTGACGACAGAGGGTCTGGAGGGCAGGCGGGCACAGAGGCGAGTTACGGTGAGGCGCCTGAGGTACTGGAGCCGTGTGCAGTGCTGGCGTCATCCCGCCGGTGGCCGGGAGGTGGCACTCAAGGGGGCGCGGGCTTCCGTAGGCCCCGGGCGGCGAGCTGGCGCTCCCGGGCAGCGCCCCCGCGGAGCTTAGGGCGGCAGCTGGCAGCGGCCTGGCGAGTGGTGACAGCCGCAGCCCCAGAGGGGCAGCGGCTCCCCGGGGCAGCCGTGCGCGTGGCGGCAGCGCTGCGGGACGACGGCTTCCCGAGGCTTCGGCCGCACAGGCGGCAGCAGTCCCCAGGGAGAAAGACAAAGACACGCCGGTTAGAAACGGGACTAGGCAGCACCGGCGCCTCCCAGCTCATCAAAAAGTCGCAAACCCAAACTCCTGTGATGGCATTTCCGCCTAACAGGTTGTCTGGCTGTCACTCTGACACTGGAGATAACTTGTGTTGACCAGAAGGAAACGGCATCCAATTGAAGTCGCACACATGTTTTAGCAATTTAAGAAAATGTATCAAAACTCTTAAATTTTTAAGTACTCTTTGACGCAGAAAATCTAGTTTCAGAATTCTCCCTTAAATAATAATCATGAATAAATACAAAATTTTCATACAGGGTATTCACTGACATATCTATAATAGCAAAAAAATTTTGAAGAAAAACTGGAAATATCCTGTAACTAATAATAAGGTGTTCATTAGATTGTCTTTTTCTTATAATGTATACTGACCAGCTGTTAAAGTAATGTTGAGGAATAATACCTAATCATATGGGAAAGTATAGTAAATGGAATAAAATCAGTTTCATCCTCATTTGTAGTGTGTGTGGGTGTGTATATACTTAAGTGTACACAACACACTACACATGTACAAAGTAATGGAGAAAAAGACTCCAAAATGTTAACTGGTTATCTCCAGGTGATGAGGATGCAGATAATCTTCATTTCCCAAATTGTATACGATATTTTATTTTTATGACAAAAATACAAGTTAATTTAATAAAAGGAATTTTACTCCATTCTTATGTACCCAAACTTTCTCCCAATTTAAATGTATTAAATCTAACTATTTTATATTGTGTAGCAAAGTGGACATCAAAAGATTTTAAGAATTAATGGTCTACTAAGTACTTTATCTTCCTCAAAGGTTCTAAGTAAATCTCAGTATTACAGAGCAAGTTTATCCCTTAACCATTACACAGTTTTACTCCCTTTTGTGAGTTATACCTCATTTTATTCTATTAAACATTTCTATTTCAGCGGGAAGAAAAATGCTTTCCAGGCTTCTAACATCTAATTTGGTTTGTTATCTCCACAGACCTGGGAACACAAACTTTGCTAAAAACCAAAAAAAAAATCACATTTTGGAACAAATGCTTTAAATACCAATGTTTTAACAATGTATTCAATAATTTTCTCTTTAACTTGAAAGATTTTCGTAGGAGCAGAACTAAACTATTACAATTAAACTATAGTCTATACTTAACATCTTGGTCTTCCAATCACAACAAATTAAAAAATTCTGGAAGTTATTAACATCTAGGGAGTCTGTTTTTGCTAAACTTTATTCCAGGAAAATATAAGGATGAAATAAAATTACCCAAGTATGACACAGAGGCGGGGTTCCAGGGCTTTGTTTCTAAACTGACAGGAGATAGATACATCCTAAGGTCCAAGGATGTTTTAAGCTAAAGTGCCCTCAGAGTTGTCAGGCTGATTTTACCTAATGATGAGCAAGCCTAAGTTCAGAATGTTGATTAGAATGTTACTTAAACCACACCACCCCACAAGTTTCCTTCCCTCTGAAGGTACTGGATAAAAATTATCATGTATAAATGCATACCTTTAGTTAAAAAAATCAGAAATAAAATTTACAAATTTGACAAATCCAAGAGGCTAAAAGTTCATTAATCAACTGTTTCTGAACAAAAAGGAAGCTGTGTGAGCTTTTTATGAAGCATCATCTCTCCAAAAACCTTACCACCAAATGATTTAACATAACAGGATTAAATACAGATAAAATGGAAGAGCATTTATGTTTGGTGCTATACAGCTCAACTTTTTATCCACAGCGATTTCATCTTAATTCAATATTTTTGAGTGACCATTGTCTCAAATACTGCTCATTTAAGAAAAAACATGAGGTTCCTGCCTTTGAGAAGCTCTGTCTAGAACATTACTCTCAGTGTAAAGGAACTCAGACCCTGGGGATAACTTGAAACCCTGAACCACCCCACCCACCACTCTGCAGTCCTTCCAAAGCTTTCCTTCCCATCATATTCTTCATGAGCTTTCTAATTTCTGGTGGATTCTTTGCTCAAATTCATCCTGAGCACCCCATTATCTCCACACTAGCTAAATTATTGGTTTTCAGCTGTTCAGGGGAGTTAAAAACCAGTCTGAGATTCTGATTAAAGACATGGACTCTGTCCTCCAGAAACGTGCACAGAAATGCATATACCATATACTTTATTTCACTTCGTGAACGTAAGCAAAACAAAAAAAAAACACATTATTTAAAAAAGATTGTGCCTCCCTCACATTATGTTTTCATGAAAGAAAAATTGTTTCCTGAAAAAGATTAATTTAAAAAATTCTAACTGCTCAGTAGTAAATTTCAATGAATTTTGGCTTATTGAGTTGAAACTATGATACGGCATTTGACACAGCAACAAATACATCATCTCTGATAATCAAGTGCAACTTCTTTCTCCATGGCAACAAGTGCTGAAATCCTAGACTCAAGGGTACACAGCACAAAAGCAGAATTCCATAGCATGCTTTGTCATGTTATAGCAGCCTGTGTACTAGAACACTAACTTCCTCCAAGAATTTCAAGTTCAAGTCACATTATTTCCTCTATCTTCAAATTCAATTAAGACTTCTGGAGAGTCAGCAAATTTCTGTATGGGAGAGAAAAACATATTCTGTTCCTGGGAATATTCATATTCTTGGCAATACCTTTTGGAAAGGTGGTGACAACTGTTGATATGGAAAACAGGAAGGCACAATGATGTGTGGCTATCCTTTGCTCATTAGCAGGACCACCATGATGTATGCTTTAACATCATAGGTACACATCTGCCCTCAAAGTGCTATCGTTTTTTCTCCCATTTGAATATTTATTAAAGAAAGACAGACAGGAGAGAGAGAATTTAAAAGATGTTAATGCCCCGGTAGGTGTGGCTCAGTGGCTTGAGCTCTGGCCTGTGAACCAAAGGGCTGTGGTTTGATTCCCAGGCTAGAACACATGCCTGGGTTACAGACCAGGTCCGCGGTAGGGGGCACGCGAGAAGCTATCACATAATGTTGTTTCTCTCCCTCTCTTTCCCCCTCTACTCCCCTCTAAAAGTAAATAAAATTTTTAATAAATGACACCATTTCCAGTTTCCAAAAATCATCCCAAAATGGAATTCTTTGATGACATCACAGAGCACATGAAAACACGAAGCTCGATGCACGGAGAGGCACAACAGTTTCATCCATTTGTGCTCTGAACAGAAATGGCATAGCGCCCTTTCAGAAGCACTGCCTCAATTCTCTTTCACAGACTGTATTTAAGAACCTTGGCACCAAACTATCTGACTCTCCGCACCCCCAACATACACTGTTATTTCCCAACCAATGTTTTTGACATTTCACCCATCAAAAAACAAGGGCGTCTTCCTCTCATCTAGTCAAATGATGCCCATCCCTTGAGACCCAGACCAAAGCCATTCTGATATGCTTTCCCTTATTACTGCAGTCTGAAATGATTTACCCATTTTCTTAATTCCCACAATGTTTGCTATCCATGCGTCTTCTCAGAGTGGTTCTGAGACCACCAGCTTCAAAAATACACCATGATCTGTATTTTTACAAACACCAGTAAAAGCTGTGGCAATTTTTCCTGTTTTCACAAATCTCTTTTGCTCTTAAAAGAGTAAGTCATCCCACGTGCATGGAGAGGGGAAGGCCAACAAGGCTTACTGTTGCTGGAGTGACCAACTGACTCATCTCATTTGTCCTATCTGTACTCATTTGCACAGAAAGTTTTGATTTGTCAATTGTGTACTTGTCAGGTCTGTAATGTCATTGTTGATTGCTGAATTCACCATCATTATATGTCCACCCCTGTGTTTTTCAATCATTGCCTCCCAATTCCACAGCCATCCTACTGTTCTAAGGCTTCAGATGCTATTTTCTAAATAGCATTACACTCCATGAGAAAAAATTTAGACAGAGCCTGAAATGAAGTTAAGCATGATTAGATGGAAAGGACTACAACTGACATCATTTACTCAGATAAAATACAAAGTCACACATACATTCTAGAGGTGAGCAGTAACCTGAGGATCATCTCTTCTATCAGACTGACATTACAGATGGGGGAACTGTGGGAAATGCAGCATTTTGAAGCAAATAAACTAACATCTTATAAAAATCTAAATTTCAAAAACAAAATAGTAGCTAAAGCCCAAATTGTCCTAATTAGCCCACAGATTCAACATTAAGGATAAATTAAGGAGTTAAAAGAATTAAAGAATAAAAATGTAAAAGATGTAATAGATCAGACATCTATAGAAAGGGTACAAAAGATTTTCTCTGACATTGTTTAAGTAACAAGATGACCTGAACTCAACACTGGCCACATTAATATTTATTATTTATTTACATATATGCCAGGCATTAGGATGTTTTACATACATTAGCACAATTTTACTAACCTCTAATGGAAAAAAAGGTGCTAAAGAAGATAGTCTATGGTAACTTTGTAAGAAAAGAAACCAAGAAAGAAGAAAGCAAAAACTGTCCATGTATCTGCACCTTGGTCTAATAGAAAGGATGCTCTAAAAACTGAAAAATATCTGGTCTGAGTGGCAAGTACAGGGTGGGGCAAAGTAGGCCTACAGTTCTTTGTATAGAAAATAATACATAATTAATAAATAATAATACACAAATAAACTCTGTTTAGCTTACTCACAACTATAAACCTACTTTTGCCCCACCCTGTATATCCTGTGGGAAAGATAAATGTATCACACTACAAGAGCTGATATTGGTCAGAGAGCTGACTCAATGCTCATCTAACAACCTCATGATCATAATTAAGTTTTCCAAGCCGATTTGCCCACTGGGAGAAAATACATTACACCATAAAGATGAGAAGCAAGTGTGCCTGATCCCTCTCATTGCAAATTTTAAAAACTAGCATTGCAGTCATTATACCCCATTATCTATGAGGCTAGTTAGTGTGACACAGTCTTCTCACACCCAGTCACCTTGCTAG